ACTTTGACTTTATCCGCGATCTCCTTCATATCGCCCCACATCTTGCACACCTGGAGAGAGGAGATGTGCTCCTCTTTCTGCCAGCCACGATTGACCTTCAGGATGGAACGCACGCACTGCAGATGAAAGGATTCCAGGCGACGGACATCACGCTGCCGAACGGTCCAACTCTCAGAGCCATAAAGAAGGACGGCCAGGACAGTCACTCCATAGGCAACGCCCTTAATGGCCATGTTAACCCTTTGCGGTGCATCAGTCATTTACGACTGATATTTTCTGGGGGTGGGTTGTATGCTCCCAGCGCTTGTGTACATCGTCTGAATGGGCTGAGATTTGGCACACACATAGTAGATACATAGGGGAACAAGCTGAAGGGGTAAAAGACCCGGGGTCCGTACTAAAAATATTGAGTTATCCTCGATCGTAGTCAGCGCGTTTTGACGCGCGGCGAAGCGCATCCTCTGCATACAAACTAAAGCCGCGTGCCCCATCTGACTGTATACTTGGGAAAAGAAACGATGTCTTGTTGCCGAAGTTCAACACACTTGTTTCTTGTCGTTTGAAAATGGACGCGGAGCAAGCTCTCAATCTCTTACAGAACCTCGAGGCCGACGATGAGCCTCTGCCTGCTGAGAGCTCTGACTCTTCTGAAGGCGACTTCATGTCGTCGAGCGAAGAGGAAGAGCTGGACCGAGAGCTTGACGGCTATGTCAGTTCCGATGACGGATCAGCTGACGATCAGGTGGACGACGATGTTGGTGATGAGCCTGTTCCGTTGCAGGGCCAAGGACAACCAAGAGGCGGAGGGCGTGGTGTTCAGCAGGGTGGAAGAGGACAAGGACAGGCAGCCGTAGCGAGGGGTCATGGCGGTGGTGCAGGTCGTGGCGGTGGCGCAGGCCGCGGTGCTGGCGCAGGTCGCGGTGCTGGCGCAGGTCGCGCTGCTGGCGCAGGTCGCGGAGCTGGCGCAGGTCGTGGAAGAGGCCGAGGACGCGGTGCTGGACTTGGTTACGCACCGTTGTCGTCCATGGATGTCGTCGATGACGATGGACCTCAGCAGATTCCTGTGTTTCAGCCGTCCAGTGAACCTGGACTAAAACTGCCTCCTGGGTTTGTTGTCGACTCGGAGGCGAGTGTCTTCAAACTATTTTTCACACCTGAAATAGTAGCAGACATTGTCAAGTTCACGAATTACTTGGAAACAAAGCGCTAGACATCTTTTCATCCTATTCCTTGTTCTTTTCTGATGCGAAAAATGTGCTCATGTGTATATAAAAGTTGAACGGTTGTGGAGTTACAGTGATTCTTGTCGGAGTGGGTAGTAATGTGAATTTTTGGCCAAATCAGTGGCACCTCAAAGGGTTAATAAAGCACACACACACACGCACACACACACATGTACATACACACACACACACGCACACACATGTACCCGTACACACACACACATACATACATACATACACACATGAACACATGCATACACCTTGAACCTTGAACCTTGAACGCCCATTGTCGGAGCAATGATAGCGATGGCTTCCTCACACTGAGGTTCTAGACCCGAAATCTGCAGTATGGCGCATGCCGCTTGAGGTCACCAGGACGGCGGAACACTCTGTCACAGCGGTAGTTGGGGCACGGGATGTCTGGGGCTTCCTTCTCGACCCTCTGTCGACAATACTGAAACCAGACGGATCTCTCTGAGCTGTGTCATACCAGCCCGCTTCAGACAAACCGATGACAGTAAAGTCCGAGGGCACAACATCCCGCCAGCGCATCTTGGGACCATTTTGCGGGCGTTTGCAGGGCAGTTCGCCGACCAGCATCTACTTGGGCAGCCGGGTCTCCTTCATCCGTGCAACGTGACCAAGCCACCGCAAGCGGTGCTTCCTGATCACATCAACCATGTCGACGTCCACCCCTGTCAGCTCGCTCAGCGATGCCGACGACAATCTCTCCTCCCATTGCTCACAACGAGAGATACCGAGAATTGTGCGAATACACTGATGGTGAAAGGTGTTGAGTCGACAATATGACCCGCTTTGATGGGCCATGTCTTCGCACCGTAGAGAAGAGCAGGAAGGACAATAGCACGATACACCAGCCGCTTGGTGTAGACCGAGAGATGTACGCACTGAAATATCGGAGACCTGAGCACGCCGAACAGGCGGGACGCCTGCGCCAAACGAGCAGCGAAGTCCGCATCCACCGTTCTCTCAGCAGAGAGCACGCTGCCAAGGTACCGGAACCCGTCCACCATGTCAATCCTGCTGTCACCACCGAGTTGAACGGTATCAACTGATGTTGGTTGACCCACAGCCATGCCCTTCGTCTTTCTAATGCTGACGGTCAGTCCCATACGCACACACATAAATACACAGCCCCCCCCCCCTTCCCCCCCACACACACACCACACGTGCGCGCACACACACACACACACACACACACACACACACAAACACACACACACACAAACACACACACACACACACACACACACACACACATGCACACACTCAGACTCAGACTCAGCCATGCCCATGGCGGAAGCGATGATAGCGAACAGGTATGTTAGACATAGCAACTTGTGCTGGGATTGCACCATTCAACAGCTTGCAAGGCTGATGAATACACACACGCACGCACGCACACACACACACGCACACATACACGCGACGTACAACCTACACTCTACACTCTCTTGCACTGTTATTTACCTCAAGCGTAGTGATTATTTACCCTCTTATTTGTTTTTCACTCCACCTACGCGTGTCATTAGTTCACACTAACTTGACATCTTTGCACTTTCCCCTGTTCCTTGACACATTTATATAATTATTAGTTGTATTCATGGCTAGTTATCATTGTTGAGACGTACTTCCCTGATGAAGGCCTCATGAAAACTGGTTGAGAAAATCTAGAACTCCAAAACGAGAGAGCTTGGAAGCTCAGGGCCCTACGCTACGCTTTTTTTGCCTAGCTCATCATGCATGTTATTAGAACTGATGGAATTGTTTTTTTCCATTGATTGGCTACATCAAACTTTCTCTTTGCACTCGAGGGTAATACGACACCGTCTACCACCTTGATTTACCTAGACAAAAAAGCATAGGGAAGTTATAAATTTTTCATTTCTCCTATTTTTTTTTAAGACATAACCTGGGATTCCAACCCGCATCGCCCTGCATGCATTCCCCCGATACACTTCGCTTACATACTCATTCTTCCAAGTTGCTTCATGTTATGATCTTGCATTTGAACGCCCTATTTGAATATTGTGGCCAGCTGCCTTTGATGGTCCGGTGCGGGACAGGTACAGGATAGCGCCAGGCATCTTTTCCGTTTGCCGTTCTTTAGCCACAGCTCTCGCCTTCATCTCTGGTGCGGGTGTAATCTACTGACTTTGTACATGCGTTATAATAGACCAATCCCTTTGTCTGGGTTCGTGAAAAGGGCCACGCGTGCAAGTCAGCTCGTGTTGTAATAGACCAATTCCTTTGTCTGGGTTCGTGAAAAGGGCCACGCGTGCAAGTCAGCTCGCGTTGTAATAGACCAATTCCTTTGTCTGGGTTCGTGAAAAGGGCCACGCGTGCAAGTCAGCTCGTGTGAAGTGCATGGTTTTGTATTTAGTTGGTATGTGGCAGCTTATGGGACAAAGAGACTTTTGCTTCCCGAGCTTGTGTATGTAAATAGTGGTTTACGTAGACTATGATGGCTACAATGCCCAACCATACCACAACGAACTGATCGGCTACATCATTGCATTGCCAAAAAATTCTGTCTGTTCGAATTACATGCATGATGAGCTAGCCAAAAAAGCATAGCATAAGGCCCTGCGCGAAAGAAATAGCCTTTCTCTTTGCATTCGAGAGTAATACGACACCATCTACCACCTTGATGACCTAGGCAAAACATGGATAGGGATGTTATAAATTGTTCATTTCTCCTTTTTTCCCCAAGACATAACCTAGGATTAGAACCCGCACTATCGCCCTCCATGCATTCCCCGATACACCTCGCATACAACTCATTCTTCCAAGTTGCTTCACGTTATGATCTTGCATTTGAAAGCCCTATTTGAATATTGTGGCCAACTGTCTTTCGTGGTACGGTACGTATGGGACAGGTACGGGATAGCGCCAGGCATGCCGATGGCACAAACAAACAAACAAACAAACACAGAATTAAAGCTGTGTGGACCTTGCATAGCTACGGGAATTAATGTTCTATTTCGTTTTTATTAGTGCAATGTCCACCTCGCCAATTCTGCTTATGATCACATAAATGTTCATTCAGAGGCATGCATATACAATATCATCAGAAACCCGCATGGACCCAGTTACAAGCTCACTCAGCACCAAAACTGCACACTGGTCTGAAAAATAATAAATACCTTCTGGCTAACAAAGAATATTAAGCAACTGTGGCTGCCTTATAAAAACAATTCTAAATACTGGCCTCAAAGCTCTTACCGCCTGAATTTCTCCATATTCTGGACCCCTTCATACACTGGCATACAAAGTTAGTAACTTTGTCAGTAACTGCTACTGCCTCTAACTGTTAACTGTAAAGTCAGTAACTGTTACTGACTAGGCTCCCCCCCCCCCTGCATATACTCACTAGCAAACATCTCTATAATCACAACTGTGGTAAAAGCAGAGGCATGTACAAATGCTACCAAGAGAAGCAGGCTTGTAACCTTTTACCAACTGACTTAGGATCAACCCTGCATCCTGGGAAAACTTGGGGACAAAGCATAGGTCATTAGCTCCAGGGAAACGTCTTTTCTTTTGGCCAGTCCCCTGCCCGGTGTTGAGACATGCATTGGGGGGTTTTCCAGTACTTGCTTACAAACAACTTGTCAACTGACTTAACTTAATATTCAGAGTAGTCTATATCCGGCTGCCTTACTTGGCAGTGAGTTGTACATCATATTGAAGGTTAGTACATTACTGATTGATAAAGCATAGGATTATCTGGTCATGTGTGTTACCTTTATACAGGGCGGTGAACTTCCTGTTCATCTTGCTGCTTGGAAACTACATCTGGAAGTCATCAAGTATCCACTAGATCTCCAACCAGACACGATCTCTGTAAAGAACAAGGTAAGTTGAGCAATCTCTATCATTGACTCTCCTTACTGTAGTCAGTTACTCTTACAGCACTCTTGAGGATCACTGTGCTAGCTGTATGTCTATTGGTGGGGGAGTATCAGGCTGAAACAACAGCAACCACACTGATCATTTGCTGCAAAAGTACCTGTGACTATTGGTGACTCTCCTACCCGGCACTGATACCTGCATAAAGCACCTCCCATATACCGACATCGTAGTAATTTTGCAACTTCTAGCACTTCTGACACCATATAGTATTCAGGTTCTTTAGGAATTAGGATACTATTGTATTATTGATTCACAGGCAGTATGAAAGAGAAACCTTTTCTAAATGTGGCATCAGCAGACCCCAGCTGTAAGAGGTACTACGCGGGCGTGTACATGTTGCGGTACACGTAACTTGTGTACACGTTATGTAAGGGTTACACGTGCTCAAGAGAAACGCATAATACATAGCATGACACGACAAGTACCACAGCTGTCACTATTGTGCTAACTTTTACACGTTATGACTAATCAGAATCATGCTTATAATTCTTAGAGCTGGGTAACTACAGATAACATGTAAAACTTTAGTCACAGTAGGTTATACATCATAATTGTGTAAGATACAGACTGTAGATAGATAACACATGCGAATGTCTTGTTTTGTCTTTACCTGCACACAGTACGGTTCCCTTCCTGTTCATCGCGCTGTTTGGAACGGACATCTGGACGTGGTCAAGTATCTAGTAGATCTCCAACCCGACACGGTCTCCGTAAAGAACAAAGTGAGTCGAGCAGTCTCTGTCACTGTATTGGTCCTGATTACACACTCCAAGAGTGTCCACATTTGACAAATTACAAACTACATGGTACATTCCCTATAATATCATGCAGGTCACTTTTCCATTGCAGAAATATTATGTAAGTGTTTGTGTTTGTGTTTCGAAGGCACTGTCATACATAGCGAGGCGCTACTGTGTTGCATTAGGTTTTCTGGTACTAGCTTGGAGGAACATTTCCAGCTGATCAATCAGAGTAGTCTATATTAGGATTCCTTGACTGACAGTAGATTGTACATCATACTGGTATGTAAGATACAGACTGCAGGTAGATAATACATATATTGAGGTATGATCTTGTCTTTGCCTGCACACAGTACGGTAACCTTCCTGTTCATAACGCTGCTGTGAAGGGACGTCTGGAAGTCGTCAAGTATCTACTAGATCACCAACCCTACACAGTTTCCGTGAAGAACAAAGTGAGTCAAATATTCTCTGGCACTGTAATTATTATGGGTGTATAACGCAAGAGTGTGCAACTTGGCCAATGACTGACTAGAATCTAGATTCCCTACATCAGCCCGCATTGAAAAAGTCCTTAGTTTCGTGTAACCCAACCAACCTCTGTTTTGAGCACAGACCAATACTTCTTTGTTGTATGCACTCATGCATATGTACATCATACGCATGTGGATATACATGTACGTGCTCGCACTTCAAGTTGTGCCAAAGCCAAGGCTCTTTCTTCCTGCTCCTGGTTATGCTCTGGCCGGCTAGACATTCCGGTCCTGTGTTTCGAGTAGACTAGATTGAGTCGGATTTGTTGCATGGTGGTGTAGAGCATGCAGATTCTTCAACCTTGTACCTGTTGCATTGTAGTCTAGTGCCTGTGTCACTGTAGCTTGGTGTGTTAAAACCTGTACAGTCATAAGACAAGTATCCTTTGCATGTGAAGTTCGAACCTACCTTTTTCAGAAGCTTTCCTTTTTTTCTTTACTTTCTTCCAATACATGTCTTCTGATTGGCCGAATCTGTGCCATCTCTCTATCTCCTGATTGGTCTAAACCGTTGCTCGTTGTTATGTGAAACCTGAACTCTCTTAGTCTTGGCACATATAAAAAGTTCTGTCTCTGAAGAAAGATCATGCTTCATTTCTTCAACCACTTCTCCTTGCTCTGGTGAGACTTGTTGGTTGTTGTGTGCCCAACCACTTGGGCCACGCTACAGTGGTTCTATTTGCCAAACGTAACGTTTTCGAAACTGATATGATTATTTTAGTTTAGAGATTTTAATGTCAAAAATGTTTCCGTCACTATGCTGACGGCGGCTGGACCGTCGTCAACAGCTGCATTGTTCAAGTTACGTACCTGGAGCAATTGGTTGGAAACTCTTCATCCAGAAGACGTCACTCGCTTCAAAGCGGTGTTTACTTCTGAAACCAGGTCAGGCCGCAAGGGTGCTGGCAGGAGTGAAAATGTAGGACTTCAATTGGAGTTTGGACGCCGATTCTTTTTCTTTGGGTTGGAGCAACAGGAAGATGTAGTTCCTGGCCCGCCACGGTTGCTGAACTATGTGTGGATGCCCTACGTCTCGGAGATCTGCTGTGCGCAGTGTCTGATTATGACCAGTTTGACTGTTCTTTTTTACTCTCTTTCTCACTCCTGTGTGCAGCCACACCATATATTCTCACACCCCTAACACACCTCACTCACACGCACCCCCCCCCCCCCCACACACACACACACAACATCAACAACAATCAACCCTCTCTTCTGCGGGGACAGCAGCAACAGCAAGAAGAAAAAGAATACTCGGGATCCCTTGTCTGCTAGCCCACTCTTGCCAGCGCTGAAATGTCGACGAATACTTGGTCACCGTTCCCAGTGCCCTACTCGCCAGCACGACTTCTAGAATCTTCCTGGATAGGTTCATGAGTTCCTGGGTTGGCTGCGTTTGAACCGCCCTCAGCTCTAGGCATGAACACAAGATCATAATGTGAGGAGCCTGTCAGCGACGTCGTCAGCGTTAGCATTGGCTTCAGCATCTACAACAGCTATCAGCAGCACTTGAAGAGAATTACGCGCTCATTACCAATGGGGACTCTGAGCCACCATGTTGGTCAGCAACAGCATGAGCAGCAGCATCTTAACGCCCTGCGGGCTACGACATCGTCATTGGCATCACCAGCAGCAGCATCCACCCACCTTGCGAGCTATGACATTGTCAGTGGCATCTGCCTCCTGCCTGCAGGCAACGATGTTCCCTGAACACCAACATAGGACAATGCCTCGCGCACCGTGCACTCACATGTGTTCGCGCCATACAGCCACAGAAATTGTGTCAGTACACAAATCAGCAACTATTATTCCTCACGCACAGTCTTAAAGCCAGCATTTCTGAAAATTAATGCTTGCCCCTCCCCCAGCAAGTTGTGAGGGCAGGTACCTTCGAGAAACGTGCTTTCCTCATGGGGTAGCATTATGTGCCATGGCTGCAGAACATTTTTAAGATTCTCAAAAACCCTGGGTATTAGGTGGAACAGTGGTGTAAGCCACACAATTTCTGTTGACCTATCAACCATAAAAGCATCGATCTCATCACGTCCCGGATTCCACCACCATGAACAGAAATGCTTTATCTTTTTCGTCCTCAGACTTTCGAAGCAAACTAGCGTATGGGGACGTCACAAAATGCTCGATTTGTTCAAAAACAGACGGGATCAGCCGCCAGTCATCTGTGTCAACTATTTTCGAATAATAGTTCGCGAGTCCATTTTGCTCTCTGGCCACCCATTCGGCAATCAGGCAGATTCTGTGCTTCATGCGCACCTGGAGGATTCGCATGGTTTCCCGTTGCAATGGTCGGCGGAGCTTAATGGGCCCCACCACCACACTCCATCATTCACCCCAGTGTCTGGAGATATGTGGATTTTGTAGAAAAAAAATCTTCCAGTTCATCATGCGGCTTGCAGCTCTTATACAGACAGCAATTATTCTATGTGACAAGACTCCCATGTATATCTGCAAAATACTGTTAGAATGGCTTCTGGTTGATAAATATGGTGGTAAAGACACACCTGGCAGTATGGCGGTAAACACACGCCTGCCCACACACGCTCTCTAGGTTTCTGTTAGAAAACACAGCACAAAATAATGAACATTATAACTGTAGAGAATATTGTCAGTTTGAGCACTCTGGCAAGGCACGTTCGGGCCTGATTGGACATTTTTTATTTCCATTGCTATCAGGTTCGGCCTCATGTCCTCTGTGCTGCGCTGATGAGTTCAAAAAGAACGAAACAGCATGCTGTCCGCAGATTGAGTATTTCGCTCCTGCTCTTGTAGCAGTTGAGCACTCTTGCGTGGGGTAGTGCCTTTGCTGTTTGCGTTATGCAGAGCTCACTGACTTGTCAGTTTGAGTACTCTGGCAAGGTACGTTCGGGCCTGATTTGAAATTTTTATTTCCATTGCTATCAGGTTCGGCCTCATTTCCTCTGTGCTGCGCTGATGAGTTCAAAAAGAACGAAACAGCATGCTGTCCGCAGATTGAGTAACTGTAGAGAATAAAAATATATGTGCACTCATATCACAACCATAGCGACGAATAAAGTATTCCAGGACGTTCGCATACGTGACCCAAATCTTTGTAAACAGAAAGAAAATGTCACCGCACTTACACCCCTCCATTACATTCACACTCACATGCACTTGAACATGCCTGTACATTGCCACACTGCACTTGCTGAATTTCCTATCATTTCTCACCTATATAGTTTTTATTACCAGTGCAAATTGTTCCGAAGGTTGTGCAGTTTTTCTTACTATTCTTGTATCGGCACAGTGGGTTGGTCTAAGACCATGATTGAGAAACGAGGGGTACAAGGTTCAAGTCCTGCTTGGAAGCGGAAGGATTTTTTCCAACCGTGCTGCGACCCACAGTTAATTGGGAGCTCGTGACCTGGCATCAGTAAAACATGGATGTGGCAAATGGAATTTAGGCCTTGGGCCTATGGTTGGTGGATCTGATCTATCCTCCCCCACCGTTTAGGAGCCGCATCTGATGCCTGATCATGGGGTGGTGGCGTCCCACGGAAGCGGAAAGGTGGTTCTTGACCAGGGAGTTGTACGACTCCTTGTTCTTGACCTGCCCGGTACGCGAACCCGTCGAATTCGTGTATCCTCATGTTGTTTCACTCCAAGTGTATAAATCCTATTGTAGTTTCATCATTGTCTTTCGTCACGAATTCCATTGATAATTGTGACAAGAAAATGTTCTGGAATACTTTTTTCGTCGCTATGGTTGTGATATGAGTGCGCATATAGTTTTATTCATTGCATTATTAAGATTATTGTCTCCACGTCGCCTTTTTACATAACTGTAGAGCACGAGAATACAGTACAATTATTGTGGATCGTTCTGGTCATAGATGGCAACATTGCTTTCAGAGATATGGGAAAGGGCTGCTTGATGTTGACCGCACGGGATCCATCCATTCCACGATATGGCAATTGTCATCACTTCCAGTAGAGTACAGGTACTCGTGATATCAACATGTCGGTTTGGTTGTTTCTGCTATGGCTGTGTTTAGGAGGGGAGAACTCCTCTTGGTGAAGCAGTGTACTGGGAGGGAGCAGGTTGTGTACCCAACTTGCTGGAAGTCACCTGGACCAAGCTAGCATATGATGAGGTAAGAGTTGAAAAAAGTAGGTTGTGTGATGAATGGGTCTACCAGTTTTGTCTGTGAAAACATGCTCGGTTACTGTGAAAACCTTTGCTCTGGAACTACTCCCCCCCCCCCCCCCCCCCCCGCCCTCACCTGCACAAGTTCTTATCAGTTTATTATGATTTTTGTTCCTGAAACACGTAGCTTTACATAAGGTTGGATAACATGGACGATCTCTATGGAAGCCGGTTGGAGTATGTTGAAAGAGTACTTTCTGCAGATTAAAATGCGTTAGAAAAGACTAGCATGCGTTTTTCTCTAGTCTATTTCCTCACTGTCGACTTCAAGGTGTGTTGAGTGGCATCATCGTGTACAGTGCATCTCTGTTTACCCTTCACTTTAGTCAACTTCTTTTGAGCATGATGTTAAGTATTGAGCAGTGACAGAATGTTCTATCATTTCTTACTGTGTACCTGTGCTATATACGGTGTAAGAAGTAAAATGGCGGGTGTGTTTTCTGTGGTATTTTGGATATGTGATGGTTATTGTGACCAGTGAAATTGATGACACTGAAGAGTGTATCGCTCCACCAATTTTGGTTCTATGTTTCCAATCCAGGCAAAGGAGATTGTGGAGGAAGCCAGAAGGATAGCTCAAACCCGCGGAAAAACGCAAGCATTGGACTTGATTAAGGTGAAATATGTCGTTATAATTATAGGATTACTAACTCTTTGCTTGTGGATGACAGGAATGAATAATTGGTACGTGTTAGGAGTAATGACCTACCGATGTAACCAGATCAAATAGAAATACAGTTAGAAGCTGTGACAAGGCACAAGACTGACAAGATACTGAGACATTCAACACTCTGACACCTAGGTCCAACATATCTCCAAAGCGAAAAGCCAATAACGTTCCAAGGTGGAAAGCTCAGGTTAGGGAAGGCCAATGAGGAGACATTCAGCGCAAACAGCATGATAACAAGTAATAGTTACATCTCACATGCTAAAGGCGGGGTTGTTGGGGTGGGTAGGGTAGGTGTGGTGGTGGGTGGCGGGGGGGGGGGGGGGCGGTTGGAGTAGCATTGATCCTTATTGGAGACAGGAGAGAACAGGAGAAGCCCAAGATTGCGTTACATCAACACGCACAATTCGACTAGGGAACGAGAGGAAGGATGAGAGAGAAGGAGCGAAAAGCAGTGAAAGAATGAAAAGCAGTGAAGAGGTAATGCAAGTGAGGGTGAGAGAGAGAGAAAAAGAATGGGAGAGGTCTTTCTAGATTTCTTGATGAATTCACTCAAAAACATTGCAATGATGAAGTGAATGATGGACAGAGAGCTGGCAAGATCACTATCAATGTCCCTGTTGATCGTCATCCGAGTCTCCAGGCAACAATTGACAGCCATGTATTGATAGAACCCGCAACTCACTCAGGGATAACCCTATAATTGTATTGTCACAGCAATGGGATACCTGGTTGGATCTGATTGCTCACGATCACCAGCAGTGGTAGGCACTGAAATTGGCTATTGAAATGTTCTGGCTTAGAGCAGATGATCCAAGAGTTACAACAGAGGTCACGGGGAAGAATAGATCAGGATCGCAAGGGACGACAGAGTCACTATACAATGACAAGATATGTGGGGTGCAATGAGTGTCGAATGTCACCATTTGGTGGAAGCCAAAACTGGAGACATATTTCTCTTCTAGTACAGTCGGTGTTGTAGCAAGCAGAGCAGTCAGATTAGTGATCATTCATTTCTGCTGCGGGCACCAACACAGAATGCGGATAGCTAATGTGAGAAACTCTCCTCTAAAATCTCATTGAATTCCTGGACAGACTGTGTTGAGTTGTGTGTGATTATGGAGATTGACACTATACGAGTGTGCTTCCTGAGCCCACTATGGACTCATACATCAATTGCCCTAATAATTGGGTTGAAGTGCTGGTTACATTGAACAACCTGACAGCAACTAGCCTACTGTCAGATGTAAGATGGTGTCTAGTGTCTAGTGTACATGTATGTCCAGCTATGTGGATATACTGTAATATCTACAGTTGCTCTCAGTGAAATTCGACCCGTGTCCATATTTGGCAATCTCAACTTGCACGACCCTCGGTGTCCTGGAAGTGGCACGAATGCAGCTGCATGTAAATATCCGCAATACTACTTGTATAATCACAACTGATCGAGGGCGCCGCCGGCTTTGCAATTTTGGTTGAATTTCACCGAGCGACCCTGTAGTTCTAGACAGTGTTCAACTTACATACTTTGGGTATTGTTGTTGTGTGCTGCATTTGTATGCTCCAGACCAGCTTGATACGTGAAGAGTTTGGTGTTGAGGGTTACACTGATCCTACTGAACTGATTGCCAACGTGTGTGGAGCAGAAGGTTCAGGAAAATCTACCTTCATTTCATCCTTCACAGCAGAAGGTTTCTTCAATAAACGGCTACGCAAGGAGAATCAACCGGACTTGAAGGCAAAAGATTTAGCATCCCGAACAAAGGTTAGTTGAAAGCAATGAAGAATTCACCAAGTGCTACAGATCGTAATTTGGATGAATGCATGATTGTTAGTCCAAATTGTTAGTGACAAGTTTTGTTTCATTCCAAATAAGCACAAATCAACACGAACGGGGAAGTGCGGAATGTAGGTGTTGTGAACCTAATCAAAAACGCTAAGCCAATAACAAGGAGAAAGAGAGGTAAACAGAGCCGTGAAATGTTACTGGTGAAATGTTCATGCTGGTGTCTGCAAGCATCGTGTGGTCTTATCTGGTCACAAGACAACTCTACCTCTTCTAGGAATTGACGGACCAAATGAAGATTGCATCAGCAATCTGCAAATTACCAGCCAGACAATTGTGGATATATGACTGATAAAGTCATCGTGGTATGAGATATACATGACTGAAGGTACTTTGATTATTGGTTGTCCATTGGTTCTATTTCTATTGGTGTTGAAACGAGCGTATTTATAACAAACGAGCGATCAGTTCCACTAACGAGCAAGCTATCGAGCGAGCTAACGAGCTTCATTGACGTTGCAAAATATAATTTTTAAACATTTTTTCTAAGTTCAATATTCTTCAGCTGGTTCAAATTATCACCGCCGGCATTTGGGGTTACTGCTGCTTCACTTCGGACTGCTGTTTGGTGTTGAGATGTTTTTTTCAGCGCCGTCATTGAGCAGCCATTGAAAGAATAGATCGTTTTCAATGATTGCAAGTAGCTCTGTTCTTCGCTGCATTGCGGGAGAAAACTTCCAAACGACTGAGCGTAACTTTCACTCGAATGAAGAGTTGACAGAAGCATGTCCTGCTACAGGTCAGCAGATGCGGAACAAGACATCAGTGGAGTCCACCAAAGCTGCAACGACAACTGAAATAACTCAGTGTTGACATGTCGTGCAGGTATACAGTCACTGTAACTGCGAGTGATTTTCACTTTGCCCGGGACTGGACTTTCGATCGACCAGGGAGTCGTAAAATATTCTGCGACTCCCCGGTCGACATGTACTGCCATGTGTACGGAGTACGGTGTTCGTTAGCGCAAACAAGCTGGCCGCACAAACGAGCCGAGTTTCTGGCGATCGAGCTAACGAGTACCCGGTGAGATTGTTTCAACATTAGTTTCTATCAATAACTGATTATATTGCTATGTAAGTATGTTATATACACATAGCAATAATACCAGAACTACCGTACTGGCGCGATTAGAGCCCTCTCTCGAATAGCGGCCAAGTTTGGTTTTCTTTTGCTAACTTTCTTGTCCATGTCACCTTACTGGTGGTATCAGGATCTAAATTGCAATTCTTGTTGCCATTTCTGGGGAGTCGTGATAGTTTAGAGTGAACATTAGGCTCTGTTTTTGTTTTTTGCCTTCTTTGCTTTTATCATGGGTAACGTAATGTGCCAGTATTGAAAGATAGTGCCCCCTAGTGCCCCCCAGGGGCACTGGGGGGCACTAATCGCGGGAGTACAGTATTCTGTTGCTGTAGAACAGTGTGGTTGCAGTGACCTAAGTATGATTCATACACTGTTCTCTTTCTCAGGGCACATTAATTTTGATTTTTTATCTGTTCCATATAGGGAATTGAAGAAACCATTTTCAACCAATCGCAGGTGAAGGTGCATTTTCGCGACTTTGCTGGCCAAGAGCATTACACCGAGTCGCATGACATATTCACGGTTGCCATGACAGCACCATCTGTTGCCGCAATAGTGGTGGACGGCACAGAGTGTGTTGATAAGATCACACAGACCGTCAGCGCAACCGCAGCCAATATTGTTTGTCGCCTGTCTGCACCTGATGATGGTAAGTGATTAGCAATGAATGATTTTCTTGCATGTCACATGATCCATTCTCGCAATTTTGAACACTGCAACTAAATCCCTCCCTGCAACCACAAAGTTAAAACGAAAGGCACAAACCGTTTCAGTTTCCTGTTCAATCATAACTTTTCTCTGCAGAAAACGAGCAACAGTTGATCACCAGCCTGCCCTGGTTCCCATATCACTCAAACTAGTTATACAGTTACATGATCTTGGGATGGAGAGACATGCCACCTACTCCATTTGGTACACAAGCGGAAAATAGGAATTCTACGCTGTCCGGGATTGATTAGCTGCGTAATCATGGACTGGTATTCCTTGTTATTGGCAATTGTGTCACTTTGTCTTCGTGAATTATCAGGCTCTCTACAGACTGAGCAACAAGACCAGCAGCACCACCAGCACCACCACCAGCAGCAGACGCAGCAGCAGCAGCAGCAACAACACCAGGAAGAACTGCAACAGGCGCAGAGAATTGATGTCATTGCGATTGCCACACGAGCTGATAAGCTAACACCAGAAGAGCGCACTGAAGTGGAGAAGGCCATAAGGAGAGGAATGAAAGCATTCTCTCAGCACTTCGATCTCTCCTTTGTGAGAGTAGTGGATGCCAGAAAGTCCAACAGTTCCAGCATGAATGATATTAGGAGACTATTCATGAGCTTGGTGAACCGAGTGTTGACGGTAAGATTTCTTCTTTGCCCGAATTTCATAACCTTTCTCTGTGTTGAGTGTTGGTCGAGTACTAGCAGCTGGTCGAGCAGCCCCCCCCCCCCCCCCCCACAAGGATGCGCTTTACAGAACCGCTATGCATTTAATTGTTTTATGGTACAATGCAAAATGAAAATATCACCACCCAGTACGCCTATATTGCCCTGGCAATACACTGATGTTGATCGGAAAAGGCGCAACATCATATTGGTCTTATACTTCTATTAAAATTTGCGCTGTCCTGCCGAAATGTGAAGCGTGTGACCTGCAAGATGTGTGTTTGTATGGAAACTGCTGACCAAATCTCACACAGTACATTAGTGCATCAGTCATGCCCATACTAGAGTGACGGGGTGTGCAAAGACAGTTAGTACTAATTGATATTGTGAGTGTGAAGAAGAGGCTGGTGCGACTTCGGCGATACTTGGGGAATTGTGTGTTGCCGCATACGTAGTAGCTAGTGCTTTCCCTGCCGACTTGAATTCTCACTTGATTGACTCACGACTGCCATCCAGGGTACACAAGAAGTCTATCGAACCGTCCACTCGGCAAACCTGCAAGAAAGTACCACTCCCTGCTCAATACACAGTGTGTCGGGGAATATAACCCTCATCAGTTGAGCTTGAGTAGGCTGAGGAAGATTGTGTCTGAAAAGCACCACTTATATAGTCCTCTCCAGGCCAAATCATCACCAGGGATACAAACTTACAGAGACACTCCATTTCCAGCGCGGCAAACACCACGTGATTACCAGATAGCAGCGTGATTCAGTGTCGCTTATGGAGGTGCTGAACAAACGCTGAGGACCGTTGGCGACTCACAACATTGTTGCTTCCAAACCAACGAATTCGCAAGCCCGCACTAGGGTCAACAATGTTCAGCACCTCCATGAGCGACACTGATTCACGCTGCAATCTGGTGTTCACGTAGTGTTTGCCGCGCTGCAAATGGAGTGTCTTTGTAAGTTTGTATCCCTGGTGATGATTTGGCCTGGAGAGAACTATTTAAGTGGTGCTTTTCACACACACAATCTTCTTCAGCCTACTCAAGCTCAACTGATGAAGGGTGAATTCCCCGAAACACTGTGTATTGAGCAGGGAGTGGTGCTTTCTTGCAGGTTCGCCGAGTGGACGGTTCGATAGACTTCTTGTGTACCCTGGATGGCAGTCGTGAGCCAGGCAAGTGAGAATTCAAGTGGCATGAAAAGAGGGGGCTCCCACGTATGCAGCAACACATAATTCCTTTTCCTTATAAGAAGTTCTGAGCAAATCCACACAGATACAATGTTAGTGTCGTATTGTACAAGAACATACTAGGTTTCTCGTGTGCTCTGTATGACAGTCGTGAGTCAGTGAAGTGTCAAGTCAAGTCGGCGGAAAAGTGCGAGCTCCCGTGTGGCAAGCAAACGCTTTCACATGCCGCTACCACTAATTCGCACTTTTTCAACTTTGACTACAGAAATCTCCCAAGCAACCACGTTTGCTGCAGAATGCTCGAAAGCATTTGGATGAGGTTCAGGCATCTATGCCCAATCCATACTGCTCAAGAGATGAGTTTGGGCTGGCACTCTACAAGGCAATTCAAGGAACGGACACTGCACCGCCAGAACGATTCGCTGACAGATATCTACGCATCTTGAGTGCATATGGATATGTAAGGGTAACGCATGCCTAGAAATGATGACATGTGATGATGAATTTCTGTGTGTACATATAGAATGATTTCCTTGTCCACCCTGAGGTTTAATATGCTCAAAGCCCTTTATGATTTCAAGCTTTGGAAGGCTTTGCCGGCTGGGTGCCATTATAACCTGCACAATGTGTTACATTCTAGATATCACTCCTGTCGTGGCCCAACTCGGATGAGTTCACAAACACGTAATCCTGCCAATTTGGAAAAAAATCGAACTGAGTTACACTGAGAACATCATGAACCGCACACACACACACATGCGCACACGCTCGCACGCACGCCCACACACACACACGCACACACACACACACACACACACGCACACACACACAGCACATACACATACACACCCACACACATACACACACACATGCACACACACACACACACACACACACACACACACACACACACACACACACACAACACACTGCACACACGCACGCCGACCCGCTCGCGCGCAAGCGCACGCACGCCCACGCACGCACTCATGCGCGCGCACACACACGCACACACAACACACACAGCACACTAAAATTCAATGGTGCTCTCGCTAATGAAGCTCTTTGGAGGAGAATGTAACCTAAAACTGGTTGCTGTATGCACACCAATAGCCCGTTAGGTTATATATTTGAGCTTTATACAATAGATATTGGGAGTCAAAATTTAACTTCAGTTGTCCCTCTCTAATCCGCCACCTTTTGCAGCAGCATTTTCTGCTGGATAAACAAGGGTGCTAGATTATCAAATCCTGCTCTCCAACCCGGCCCACCTACAAACATATTTGTGTTATAAGTCAAAACAGAGATTTCTGTGTCAATCTAATTACTTTGTGGAATGCATGTCTATACAATGCATAGGATAGTTGCAAGGGTATGTTACATGTGTAGAACACTACATGATAAGTTAGTTCATGCATGTCATGCACTCACCAAACTAACATAGCTGTGCACGGGTAAGGTATGCGATGTACAACTGTTGGATTATAAAATCGAAATATGTACAGTTGGAGCGATTTGTTGCAGAAAATCGCTACGGGAGCCGCAATTCAAGTGCCGGATTAAAGCGTCAAAACTGAACTGAAAAATCCGTTTCGCCGGAAAATGGGCTGGTTTGCAAGAGTTCTGGATTAACAAGTGCCGGATAAGAGATGAGAGATAAGAGATAAGAGATAAGAGATAAGAGAGGGAAATAGACGTTTCTTTGTACTTGATCTACATTTCTGTTGTGTTTTTGTGTACGTGTGTGTGTGTGTATGTGGGTGTGTGTTTGTGTGTTTGTGTGTGTGTGTGTGTGTGTGTATGTATGTGTGAGTGTGTGTGTGTGTGTGTGTGTGTGTGTGTGTATGTGTATGTGTGTGTGTGTGTGTGTGTATGTGTGTGTGTGTATGTGTGTGTGTGTGTGTGTGTGTGTGTGTATGTGTGAGTGTGTGTGTGTGTGTGTGTGTGTGTGTGTGTGTGTGTGTGTGTGGTATACCTTTGATACTGCTAAAGGTCATCACATTCCCAGAGCTGAATGATCTGGTGGTTCATCAGCCTCGCTGGCTCCTGCAGGACGTGATCGGGTTTATGTACTCGTCCAACGTCTTCCCCCACCGCCCTGATGGCATTGCCAGGGAATACAAGATGAGTGAAGAGGAGTTCGTCCGTTCACTGACTTCATTCGCCAAAGTCGGAGAAAAAGCTCTGCTCTGCGTGCGTATGGTTCTACAGCTCGGCTTGTCCATCCGCTATCAGAAGGATATCCTTGCTCTCTCCCTGTTTCCCGAGTGCACACAGCCATTGAAGGTGCACAGAGCCTTCATGACCTCACAAGTGATGGTAGGTTCTGTGTATACCTGCAATGGCTGTGTGCCATTCTCATCTGGTCTCATTGTTCAATGCCAAGCACGTGTATACGACTACTCCGATTGCTTTTTCGCCAGTACTGATCCCATGTTCTTCAAGAACACCATCATTGTCCACCCGTATCCGCACACAACAGTGCTGATTGTGTTTTCGTCCGACCGTCAGCGCTGTTGTATTGCAGTGACGTCCAGTTGCGGTACGTACCTGCAAGTGGTTCACCACGTCCACTGGTTATTTCAAGCTCTCTTCCTTGAGCTACTGAAGAGATACAGTCGTGGTACTTCGGTAGAGCCCACTGTACTCAGCCTGAGCAGCATGCGTCAGCTTATCCAGCAATCCGCTTCACCAGCTGCCATCTCTCCAGTGGTTGCTTCCTACTCGTCCGAAGCCGTCATTCTTGCCGCAAGCAGTGTGCAAAGCAAAGATGTCAAGGACGCCAGCGGTGTGTTCGTTGACTCGGTGCAGGATCTTCATCACGTTCCTGCCACGCATGTCAGTATGCTTCCTGCCACATGTACTGATCGCCTGGAGAGTCTGCGAGATTCCGCATTCCTGAGCGATCTCCAATCAAGCGTAGATGTGAGTGAGAGGGAAATCAGCCGACTTGGTGGCCCCCAATCAGTGTCGCCCGCTGGACCCAGTCGGCTGAATGCCTCGCTGGTGTTGTTGGCATGGTGCCGACAATCTCATCGTCACACATCTACTGTGCTATACAGCAGGTTAGCTCAGCAGTGCTTTTCTTCGCCATTCTCCGTTTTCTACCGAGAGATCTGCAGGATGCTGGTGGAGAATGAGAACATGGTGAGCGGAATAAGAATTTTTAAAAGTTTTCCGTAACTATGAATCTCTGCTGTCAATATTCATAAACAAAATTACAAATTTGCTTGAATGAGAACGGTGCGTGTTTTGTTTGATCATATCAAAATTGAATATCGTGAACTTGTAGTTTGTAATCTTCTCCTTATGAAGCAAGAAGTTTTAGATGATATCAGTCATTCGCAACAATGCATTTAAGATAATATCTGTTTTCACTTGGTACAATTTCCATAACTAGATTTCACTTGGTAAAATGTCCAGAACAACCTTGGCTAGACTACAAAATAATTTAAAAGTTTTCTAGCCTCTCAAGGAACCTAAGTTATGCAAAGCTAAGTGTGTGTGTATGTGTGTGTGTGTATGCGTGTGTGAATGTGTGTGTGTGTGTGTGCGTGCGCGCGCGCGTGGGTGTGTATGAGTTTGCATGTTTGTGTGTGCATTTGCATACATGTGTGTGTACATGTGTGTGTGTACATGTGTGTGTGTGTACATGCGTATGTGGGTGTGTTGGTGTATATGTATGTGCACGTATGTATTCTCATGAAGCTGATGGAAGCATTCCCGGACATCATCACCTATGAACAGCGGCAGTTGAAGGAGCAAGAACGTCTTCGTTGCCAGGCCGACAGTAAGTGCATTGTGCATTTCCGCTATCAGGAAACCTGTACTATAAGCTCTGTGCCCACCAAATCCAGACAATATCCATCTCCATTCTTTTTTAAACCAATTTAGCTCCAAAATCCGATCCTTAACCGGCCTGAAGAGTATAATTGTTTGCTATGCTCCACATTTAGCTTAAAAACTACATAAAGTATTGAAAGCATACCGTGATTGGAAAAGCAGTCAATGCGTAAAATACGCAGCAAACCTTCAATTTCAGGAGCTTTGTCCATTTCCCATTGTCAAAATCTGAATGTGATGATGGTTTTCTGTATTGATTTATTTGTTTGTTAGAAACAATGGAGAATACTTGCACTCATGTTTATACACAGTCCACAGTCTATTGTGATAATAGAGAGGTTCCGCACTACGTAAAGTTGAGCAACTTTACGTTAGTGGGCAGGAAAAACCCGTGAATTCGCGAGTTTGCTCTCCACTTACGGGAATTTGTCTACGGAGAGTACGTAGATAGGGCTCTGATAGCGTAGCTGGTACGTAAGTGGATTGGGGTACAAATTTATGACTCCCTCCCCATGTCGATCTGGTCGTACACTGCCACGTTTGGAGTTGCCAAGGGTAGCTACGTGATTTGAAAACTCCGTATGGCGGAACCCAGATGCGCATGCAGTTTACGTAAGACTTTCCGTAGATTGACTACGTTTTTTACTAACGTAATTACGTTATGCGGAACCTCTCTAATATCAGTTTTACTGTTCCATAGAAAATAAAAAAGACCAAGGAACTGCAAGTTTGGAGTCGGATGAAGAGCAAAGAAAAATGGACCAACCGACTCAGTGTCGTGCAATATCATCGCATGAGCTGATTCTTTAGTAACTGGCGGTGTTAGTGAACATTATCGCGTAACTTGTTGTTGATTGGTCCTTTTTTTCTTTACTATGAACTACAAGTTACGCGATAATGTCCACTAACACCACTAGTTACTAAACAATCAGCTCATGCAAAAAACAATTTAAAGACACTGACCGACTGTACTGACGTTCTACAACTAATGGGCTAACATTGTTTAGTAACTGGTGGTATTAGTGGACATTACCGCGTAACTTGTAGTTCCATGGTCCTTTTTATTTTCTTTAAATTAATCCTTGGCTCTCCATCCGAGTCCGTTCCTGTTCTAGTCTTTGTTTTCCACACTTCCAGTGCTTTTCTTGTACATACACAAGCTCTTTGTATTTTTTTTATCCCTGTCAGTTTTGTGCCATTTTGTCGCACTCGCTGACTGTATAAGATCTGGTTACGTTGGTGGACAGTTAGTCATAACTAGTAACATTTTTTCCTTCTTCTTTTCACAATTATTTTATTAAGTAGTGGTTGCGACTTCGGCGATGATTTGTAAGAAAGGGTTTGCTCCCCACACCGGAGCTCGCGCTATTCCGCCGACTTTACTTGACACTTGACTGACTCACGACTGCCATCCAGAGCACACGAGAAGTCCATCGAACCTTCGACTCGGCAAACCTGCAAGAAAGCACCACTCCCTGCTCAATACACAGTGTTTCGGGGAATTCACCCCTCATCAGCTGAGCTTGAGTAGGCTGAGGAAGATTGTGCCTGAAGAGCACCACTTATATAGTGCTCCCCAGGCACAAACATCACCAGGGATACAAACTTACAGAGACGCTCCGTTTCCAGCGCGACAAACACCTCGTGAACACCAGATAGCAGCGTGAGTCAGCGTCGCTCCTGGACGGTGAGACAGACGCGTCGAGGACCCTCGGTCATTCGCAACGCTGTCACCTCCAAACCAACTAGTCGCAAGCCCGCGCTGGGCACAACAGTACGAAGTAGTGGTTGCGACTATATAAGTGGTGCTCTTCAGGCACAATCTTCCTCAGCCTACTCAAGCTCAACTGATGAGGGGTGAATTCCCCGAAACACTGCATTGAGCAGGGAGTGGTGCTTTCTTGCAGGTTTGCCGAGTCGAAGGTTCGATGGACTTCTCGTGTGCTCTGGATGGCAGTCGTGAGTCAGTCAAGTGTCAAGTAAAGTCGGCGGAATAGCGCGAGCTCCGGTGTGGGGAGCAAACCCTTTCTTACAAATTATTTTATTATTATCACTATTATTTCTCACGGTGGCCGTTGGCCAATCAGAGAGATGCAATTAATAATGGTGATTATATGAGGCTATGGGGTAACATTAGTTGAAAATATGGTCATACTGATAGTTGAAGAGTTGATCGCTAGGGAGTGTACGGTGTACCGGTTATGTTTGTCTCTATGCCGTCTAACAGATGTTCCATTGGCGGATGAAAGATTCTCAACTGCACCCAAGACGTCATTCCTGGGACAGAATCCCTC